TAAACGAGCGGAGCGTTTAATTACAATGGTAATTAGTTTGAGGGTGTGCGAGTGTTGCGGCTTGGTGGCGCGCACCTAATTTTGCAAAATGATTATTGCTCGGATTATTGTGTATTTTGTTCCCGTTTATTGATACAAAGTGAGATTCACACAAATGTTATTTTTTATGCACCTCATACAATTTAGTAATCAACCTACTTTCTACAAGTACTCATTCGTATAAGTTGTTGTTATTTTGGCATACCCAAAAGGAATAAATGTCGTAGTAAAAGTGCATGGGTACTCTCCACTTGAGCTAAATCAAGGTAATCACCGTAGTTGTGAATAGTGGAGACAGTATACTGATGGGGGTCACCAATCTGACAAATGCAAGTTTTCGTAGCATTGCCAAGTTAAAAAAGTATGCAAGTCCATGTGCGTAGGAACATATAAAAACTGATCAACCATAAACGGAAAGGAAAATGACTGCATCAAAATCGCTTTAGTCGGTAGTATCAATGAAAACTAGTTAACACATAATTTGCTTGCTCCAACAAACATTTGCCCCTGAGATCAACAGTGAATAACTCATTTCTGTTTGAATAATGCACGTGGTATCCAACACTTTACCGAAATCTCAAAGAACACCTCAAGCACTGCAAAACCATTTCAGTGCCAATTTCAACTGCCCACATTTTCATGCTCGAGCCCACAACGATTTTCCAGCGCAAATCTTCCTCTGATGTTCCTCAGATGCTCCGCAATAAAACTGGTTAACTCGTCAAAACGACATACAAGCATCTATATGTACATATCCACGACTCACGTGCACCATTAAAACAGTTAACTCTGCCCATCACCACCATCGCACCGTTTCTATCGCCATCATCGCCGACACCTCGGCCATCACCATCGGCCAAAGATCGAGCGGTGCAACGTAGCCTCCTCACTTTATACCCGCACCCTTCATTTTCCCGCTAAATCGCGAGCCACGCCGCAAAATACCCTCGTATACGAAGGAATTCGCTCTCTTCCGCTTGTGCGCCTTTTCGCGCGTCTGCTCGCGATAACCAGCCGTGTAGCCGCCGATAAATCATCACCTGCACCACCACACCTCGGGCTTCCGGCTTTCAACCCCCCCTTGCGAGCGCGCGATATGACGCTCGACAGCCAGCTAATGACCCCGGGCCCGAGCCGCGGCATCCGAGACGCGTGCAACCGCGGTTGCTCATGGATTCCGGAGGACGACGGCGTATACCCACGGCTGCTAGATGAGCGATTCCCGTGCAACTCCGCGTTTTCGAGAAAACGCGCGGTCCCCCCGCTCGAGATGGACCGACGATATTATACATATACATACACAACGGGGCTGCAGCTGCGCGTATCTTTATGATAAGCGCATCACGCACGCGGTGTGCGTTTTCTTTTTTGTTACACTCGGGGCTTTTCGAAATGCTAATTGCTTACTCGCGGGTATACACCGAGTGGGCTTGTAATTACAAAAGAATCCAAATGGTCCGGGTGATTTAAGGTCCGTTGATCGAGTGCGCCGATGCGGCGAGGAGGAAAAAAGTGAGGATTAAAAGTCTCGATGGACTGGGGAAAAAGTTTTGCAGAGCGTTTTCTTCTCGTACACATACATGGGAGCCAATGGTGCGCGGGTAAGGTGATAAAGTTGGGATTTTATTCAGCTCGTTCGGCAAGGCGATCGCGTCCGTTCCGGGCGATACGGGAGGGGATCTTCGCTTGGTATCGATGCCATGCGAGGGCTTAGCAGCCGCTGACAAATATCGCGGGTAATTAAAAGTATAATTCTCATTGCCGAAGCTAATTGCGAATGGCACATAATATCTGTGTGTGTGTGTGTGTGTGCGTGTGTGTGTGTACTGTAACGCGAACGCGTCGAGCAATAATCGCGCTCGACGTGCGAGAAGACACACCTACACCCGCGAGTACTATTTGTATTTATATATTTTTTTACTTGAATATATTTTATTATCTCATATTCCTCGCGATAGATTATTCTGTGCGTACCCGATCCTCTTTGTATCGTGCTAAAGCCGTCGCGAGAGGCGACGACGTTCAAGGTCACCGTGATATTTGGCCCCTGCGGTGTCTCAGAGAGCGAGACCCGCGCATAACGTTTATTGGAGGTGTCGCCGAGGGTACCCGGGCAACACAGGCCTGGTCAAGGTTGCGAATTCCGCCTCGTAATTCCGCATCGGCTGCACCCCGTAACAGTACACACGAGACTTTCTCGAGATCTTTAGCGCGAGCGAATCTGTCTGGATGCACTTGGAATTTATAGCCAAGCGGGGAGAAATCAGGGCGAGGTTGTAAATTGCTCGGGTTGATGCGCCCTGGCTGCTCGNAAAAAAAAAAAAAAAAAAAAAAAAAAAAAAAAAAAAAAAACTCACAGACAAAAAGAAAAGAAAGTGGTTCACGAGGCATGGCCGCGGTGTGTACAGGAAGTGGCAGGCGGGGAATTCAATTCCCGACCAGGGAATCGAGGCAGCTGTGTGCGCCCGTATATACATGCGAGTCTTCGCATGTGCGTGGCTGCAAAACAGCTGGACGGAAGAAAGAGAGAGGGAGAAAAATACCAGAAGCGTGTGTTTACGAAACCTTTTTACGTTTCTGTCACCCAGTGCCCAGCGTCCGAAAAACATTGCGCTTGAGCCGCTATCGTCTCATTTTATATACTACTTTACAGTTTTTTTTTTTTTTTTTTTTTTTTAATAAAAAACAGTGAAACGAAGCATTCGCGACTCATAAATCGAAACGAAATGTAAAAGCTTTATCTTCTTTTCAACACGTGATTTCCGAGTTCGATGAATCTGCTCGGGAGAGCCGGAGGAGGCAGCCGCACGTACCGAGCGAACGTAAAATTTGCGTATTCAATGCAACCCGCCCTCGAGAACCCCAGCAGGAAAGTTCGATCGGAACTCGGAGGCGAAGAAGCGATGAATTTGCTCGCGGATGTATATATATATACATACATACATATAGATGCATGTATGCAGAGAAGAGAAAAGCTCGTTGTCAGGATGTATACACGTTGCGTTGGTGTGGCGGGGCGCGCAAGCAACACTCCGGTATTCACGCGGTAAACACGCGCACACACGCGCGGCCTGGCGCATCCTTTCCACCTGTAGTACGTGTGTATACGTGCAAGCGAGTGAGCAGCTTCGCATTATACACGTTCGGCGCAGCGAAAGAGAAGCTGTGTAAATTCTAAAAGGATTTCTACAGCTCTCTGGCCTGCCTCGTGGAGAGATTCCCTACCCTGGGAAGCCGAGGCGAGGCTGCCACGAGGTTTATTTTGTTGAAAATATTTGAAATTTCAAAAAATTTTTATTAATTACACATTTTTTTTTTTGTGATCTCGAACCTTGTCACTGATGTAATGACTAAAGAGTATACTTATTGATTTTGTTCACGTGCAGTTATAATTGACTGAAAAAACAGATCTCAAAGTAAACGTCAACCTGATGTAACGATTGTAACTGATCTTTAATCTTGTGTTTCTCAAAAGTCATTTGTCTATCAATAAATACATTTTATGTTATGTGACGAATACCAAATATTCATATATACACATGAAAATAAAGAAAAGTAAATTGTTATTATCCGAGAAGAAAAATTAACCAAAATCTCTAGTCTTGTTTGTTGTTGCCATTTGCTTAAATACAATCACAGAGAAAGAAATAATGGATTAAAAGATATAAGAGAGCCAATGAAAGTGACGTTGTGTGCTTGACGTAGTCGAAAACCAGCCCGGTAGAAAAATTAGGTACGAAATCACTAATACTATTAATATGTATCAGTGTATATCATTGATTATAGAAATATATAATACTATTGTTATTGAAAAATGCTCAATACTCGTATATTTGCGTGCGCACACCACGCGACTATCTAGAATAGTTTAATGAGCTGAGTAGTGTAGTATTGTGGTCGGTGTTTATTTATACTGTATCGTCAATATATAAACGAATAATGTATATGTCGTAGTGGGTTTGGCAATACTCCTAATGCATTAAAATTATTTTGTTACTTGAAAAAAAAAAAAAAAATGTATACAGAACCTCTAAGAAATCACACTTTGACACGTTTCTTACGATTTAAATGTATTTTAGATTAGATAATACGTGCATTAAAATCGTAAATTCATAGGAATATTGCCAACCATAGTTAATATCTAATAAGCTGTATTAGAAAGCCTAGAAAGTTATTCCTCACTTATAATTATCTAATATACCTTAAAGGCTATAATAACATTAGATAGATAGGAAGGTTTCTTTTGTCGTAGATTGAGATACATATGTATTTTATATAATCAGCCGCGCGTAGTTTATACATTAGTTACCTATTACATAAAAAAATTAGTCAATAAGCTAGTGAGCGATATAGTCAAAGTCTTAGTTGTGTGGTCTTTATAAATTAGTGTCAAATTATGAAATTTCATGGATGCCTTTTCTTTCTTCCTTTAATAATTATACTACAACTATCGCTGTCTCTACTGCAACTGTCTTCACTATTTTCCCTTCTCTGTCTTATTTTGATTTTTTTGTCATTATCACAATTTTTCTAACCTAGTCGCTTTAATAACCCACATGATTTTTTTTTCAAGCATTACAATATCATTGAACTTTTCTTTACACATTATACGTTGCTTAAAAAAAATTAAGAATGTTTATTTTTCGGAAGACTGAAGTTTATATGTATTCACACTTTGAATCAAAATTCCGTTAAAAATTATTATTTACACACTTACATACGAATCACAAATGATAATTTTCCTAACGAGGGTGTAGCAAACGATCAGAGTTGAAGCAAAACACCCTAGATAGGAAAATACACTTAATAGTAATCAAAAAATTACACGGAAAATCTTTAATGTAACAGTTATAATGAAAACTCTTCTGAAACAAAACTATTGAGCATTCGATACTATAATATACTATACATCTTTTAATTCAACTAATTACTAATTAATTTTTATGGTTTTTCTCTTATAGATTTTATGTGGTCCCTGGGAGCATTACCAGATGGTGAGTTGACTATTTGTTTTTCATATCTCGATACAGTTATTTTTTGCAGTCACGACTGCCCTACAAGAGTATATATTTTTACCAGAACAAAAAGTGCAATCACTCGTTAGTCATATTATTAAGAGTGTAAAGTAAATTTAGACCCTAAACCTAGTGTGGTCCAAGTATTATGCATAAAGTAATAGCATGAGATTATTGATGGACGTATATGATTTAATTTAAAGATTGACTCAATGAATTTTCTTTAATGAACTTTGAAAAATGGTCTTGTCCCTTTCAGCAAAAAATCGTCGTTATTCCACAAAATTTTACGGAGATCGATACGTATTGTACTCAAACCATTTGCAAACTTAAAATGATCCAAGCTGTAATTCCACTTTCAGTTCTGGTGAGACATGTGGCACCCGTGTCATGGAAAAGCATAACCCTTTAGATCAACCCTTAACTATCTATTTGGTTTACAAATGTAATATTTCATAGTTGGTAACTTGGTTACCACATACGGAACTCACGATGAATTGTATAAAAAAAAGATCCACGTATACTTTGTACTAATGTGTACTCGCGTAATGTCTGTTCGCAGGTTTCCCAGCAGCGTACGCGGCATATGCGGCGGGCCGCAGCTACTCAGGCTACCCGAGCTTCGGACTACCCTATCCAACAGGTAACCACCTTAGCCTTAACCACCTTAACCAACTGAACCACCATAATACAACAACGGCAGCCCATGCTCACCATGTCGCCCACCACCACGCGTCCCTCAACCTCAACTTGAATCACGTGCAGGCGCCAGCCGCGGCGGCGGCTGCAGCAGCTGCAGCTGCGGCTGCCGCCCATCACAACCCCAACGCTGCCGCCGCCGCCGCCGCTGCCGCTGCCGCCCACCACCATGCAACAACACCCACCGCACTCTTTTACCATCCCCATCTGGACCACCTCTACAACGCCATGCCTCTGTGAACTAACTCTTCGATTTCTCGATTATTGTTGTTGTTGTTGTTGTTACTACCATTGATACTACTACAACCGCTACTATTCCTCTGCATTGCTGACTATGACAATGTCTGCTGCTGCTGCTACTGGTTGTGATTACAATCATCATTTCAATAACAATGATGCAGCTGCTGTACATGGACACAAATATTGTTGCACAACCAACACACATATATATAACCCATACTTGATTGCGATGGTTAACAAGACGACTAGTGGGCGCACAAATGAAAAGATGACCAAGTTGTTGTTTTTTTTTTTTTTTTTTCTTACTACTCCCAGAAGTTACGGCTCGACGAGTGCACACGCTGTACATAATCAACTACTCTCGTCTATCCTGTACCGTTTTGTTGACTAGCTTAGCAAAAGAGTGGACAATCGTGTCAAAGACAGGAAAAGTCCGAAGACACCATTGAATATGAATATTACTGTGCACTGATGTCAATGCAGCTCTGGTTGCGGGAACATTCCTACTTGTGTTACGTGCGCGCAGCTGAGCGATGTTCAAATATGAATCTCCGCCGCGTTACCGATAATTAGCCTTGTTTGGTATACATCCTCGACGATTTCTTTGTCACCTCACGTAGATGCTTTTGCTGCTGTTGGACGAAGCCTTTTGACGCTGACAACGGTAGAGCAAAGCTCGATTGTGCTTTCAGGGTACGGTCGTTCGGAGAGGGAAAGGGAAAACGAGGAAAAGTGTGAGGTGAAGGGGATGGAAATACACTGGAGAGGATGTTGTAAAGGGAGATGTGAGGGGGTTTGGAAAAAAGTAAAAAGAAAAGAGAAAAAAAATCATCTGTCACCCACGTATGTACGTGAGCACACTTGTATGGGTTTCCAGGCCAGGGGAAGCCGGAAACTGTACAAAATTGTCGTGAGTCGAGTTGTTTCAAAGCAGAGCTTTGCAAATCGACCCAAGGACTTTAGTTTTTTCGGTACCCCGTGTTTTTTGTGTTTTAAGGCTGGAAGTTTTGATAACAAATCAATGATGCAGTGGTGAATAGTCGAAAATCCTGGATAAACTTGGTATTCGTGTATCGTTGTACAAAGAATTAATGTTGGTTATTTGTATGAAAAAGTTGTAAACTTAAAAAATTATATGTACATCGACGTCTGTACAGAAGACTTTAATATAATTATATCAACTACGTAAAAGATGAAAAATTATGTCATAAATAATACTAAATGATAATCAAATTAACAAATTAACTTTTGGCTGCTAAAAAGCGAGAATATTTAATTCTACATGTAATATAAATAAATTATAATCAAGACGATGTTGCGTGACAAATTAAAAATAAAATATATAGTTAATAATGCAACTGAACGACAACAGAGCCAATGAAAGTGACGTTGTGTGCTTGACGTAGTCGAAAACCAGCCCGGTAGAAAAATTAGGTACCATAATATAACACACAAAAACAACTTAGTTTTTAATGATGTATATCGAGAGATAAATCTAGGCGATCTAGGATCCAACTAGTTAGACAAGAACATTTATATTTAATACATATAATTTATTTGCGTAACAAGTAATACGTTCCTAAATATCATTGAAGTCTTAGAGAGTATAATCATAGATTTTTGAATAAAGTCTTTTTAATATATATCTATATAAATGCCGTTAGCTTTAGAAATGTCTTAGGTACTTCTCGTCTGGAAGACACGTGTACCATGCAGGCAAATGTCGAAAATTGAGCGTTCACTGTCACGAAATGCCCCTTTTTCCATTCCTTTTCTTTTCTTTCAAAATTAGGAAAGAAAAGGAGGAGCAAGCTGCACAAAAAAAAAAGAGATAAAGGAAGCTGCGCTGCTCCTACTGGGTGGTCCTCGGAGTTCAGTTTCCGAGACATTATTTTCTTCTCTTGATTAATCCGGCCGAGTGATTTAGAGGAGTGCTCGTTTGCGAGGTAAATACTTGGTTGAGAAGCCGTGCTAGTCCAACCTAGCCACTCTTCTTATTTTCCCTCCCACTTCTTTCATTCTTTTTTCCTTTTATTTTTTTGTTTTCGCAAACGACCGAGTAATCAGTAAACTTCATCAGCGAAGATCCGTTAAAAGTTGGCTCAGCTGCCTTGGTTTCTTTAGTTTCAATTACCCTCCTCTCCAAAGATAGAAGGAGAAAAAAGCAAGTTCTCCTCGAGATTTTTAATATATATTTTTTTTTTACTCCTTTCGCCTAGCCAACGCTGTTAGACGTCCGAGCAAGCAGTAGAAGCAGCGCAATTTTTCTTCGTGTAATTGGAATAATTGACGCGCGAAAATTCTTCCAGAGGGAATGCATAAAAGAGCGGCTGTATTAAAACCTACATATCTACTATATA